AAGTTCATATAATACAAACCTTGAATTTTTATACATTTGATCTTTTTTTTTTAACATCTACAAAATAATAAAATCATTGGATTAAATTAATTGGATATCAGATATAGTACTACGTAACATAACATAAAGTTTAAAATAACTAACAGAAACTACAAATAATCTTTTTTAACCACTTACAGTATAAATTTTTTTTTTATGATAGTTATCTATGATAAATCATATAAAAGATTTATTCTAATAGAAGCTGCAGCCAATTTTTTTTTTTTTTAAAAAAAAAAACTTTAAGTGAGTATTAAGCCAATTGAACAAATTTGGTAAAAATTTTTATTTTGACGTTATTGCACATATCAATATCTGTGAGATTTTTGCGTTCGAAATTACGAAGAATTTAAAATAAAGCATCTCTAATATGAAGTTGTAGTAAAATTTAATTTGTTTGGTTTTTTTTTTAAAAAAAAAAATTATTTTATAAATCAATGTTTGTATTTGATATTTATTATAATTTAGAATTATTATATATTTTAACTTTCTTATTATTTTTATTCCAAAAAAAAAAAAACTTCGTTATATGTATTACTGTGTACCCGTTCCAGAATTTTGTTCTTATCGGTTTATAAGAACTCCGAGAACACTAATATAGAAGTGAACACGACATTGAAATCACGAAAGTAAATAATCTTCTCTATGTAAAGTTATATAAGTGTTAAACAATAAAGTATGCTGTGCGTCATACATACAATTAGGCGCAATAGTTTGCTTCAGTGATTATTGCCAAATTCAAAGTAAAAAAAAAAAGAAAAAAAAAATTCGAGACGAAAAAAAAAAGAAAACAAGAAATTAGAAATAACTCAATTTGCTATAGAGATTAAACTTTTAGTCATTAAGTGAAAGATTTCAGCAACAAATTTAGATACATTCTTAATGTTTTATATTATTAACTTAAGTATCAACATCGTTGTAGATGACAATACCATGACTTTAATAATCATACATGTGCAGTACGACATACATGCTTTTTATTGTGATGGTTAATTTAGGAAACATAAATTTACAACACTCCGGTTAGTTTATGCATTATCTCTATAGAGAGATTGAGGCTTTCAGATTTTCTCATAGAAACTAAATCTATTATATCAGATTATTATTGAATTTCCTTGGAAAAAATCAATTTTTTGTCACTATTGTTAAAATTTTCATCCAACATGATGAACTTGAAGATTTTATAGAGATTTTCGAGAGCTACAGTTTATACTAACAAACTTTATTTAATAGTGTTACAATGTGGAAGATAATTATTGTATCTTTATAAGGAAAGGTTATCCATATTTAAATAAACCTTAAAAAATGGAAATCTACAAAGAAATTAGTACGTATAAAAAAAAAAGGTCTTTATCAATGTTACCAAAAAGTTCATTTGATAAACAACGATAATTTATTCGGGTTGTTGTCTAGAAAAAGCATGCTTAGAGTATATATACTCTAAGCATGCTTTTTGTTAGGCAACAACCCAATTTGTTTTGTAATCGCCTCAAATAATTACTATTACAAAATAATACACAAAATCAATTATTATCGTTATTATTATACTGTAGTTACAAAAAGAAAAAATCATTGTATTCTACTTTTGCGTGTTATAACAGATATTTAAGCAAATATCCTGTTATAAAATATCATATATATACAATATATAACAGATAAAATATGATTTTATTTATGTACTAAAATTATTGGTCAATTTAAGTTGAATGGACAAAATTCAAATATAATTTATACGATACCCAATATGGATTTAATTGCCGAAATTGTATAAATTATATCTGGATCAATATCAATATATAAACTATCTTAATTTTCCGCCTGAAAGTTTCGATTTTATTTTATTTTATTTTTTTTAAACCAAAAAACCACAATTAAATTTAGTGATAACCTATATAAATGGGTAATAACAAATCTGTTCAGTCTGATGAAACAGAGAAAATTAGTCTTTCTAAATGGATTAAAACAACAAATAAGTCATGTATTTTCGGTAATGTAACTACTGTAGAAGATATTATCTCTCGATGTGTTAATGAAAATTTTAATGACGAAAAGCATTGTCAAGACCCACTTGAAATGAATTCTGTATCATGTTATAAACTTGAAGATTTACAAAATTCCAGCTTTTCAATTGCAAAATTGGCAAGGCAACTCTGTAAAGTGGGATATGGTGAATTGCCATGTTTCAGATCTCAACAGCCCTCAACAGATTTTGATGCTATTTATGATTTCCTTCAATTTTCCATTGTTTTACTAAAAGTTAATCCCAAACCAATCAAACGTGCAACTTTGACGGATCTTAATACAGAAAGTATTTATGGTGTTAAATACGTTGCCCTTGATCATGAGTTTGACAGATCTATCAACAAAAATGTTGTTGACCAAATTTATTTAGAACTTTTTAAAGAACTTTGTAAAATTAAAACCGAGTTCGACTCTTGGGAAAAATCTTTCAACAGTTCAGCATTAAACCATTTTAATACCGGTTTAAATATTTGGTGTTCTAAACCAAAAATTAATCGTAAGGATTGGGCTTCAATAATTAATGAAATGAGTTCTTTCATTTCTGTAAAACCAATAAACGATTCCAAATATTTAGAAGCGTACATCACTGCTCTTTCTTTATATACATTCGCCGCTCTTAGTCAGGACCACGACAAAACTAAAATTTGTAGTATGATAAATCGATCTTGCGAATTACTTTTGTCATTTATTCATACTTCGACACTTCATAATGCTGAGGGTTCTTTTGCACATAATTCGGAACTACCTGGCGTAAGGTTAATTGACATTTTTGGTGGTTTACATCAAGGTTTAAAGACAGCAACGATTCAAAAATTTGTATGCGAACAAGATAATGTAATTTCAACTTCATATACTTCAAAATTTGCTCCTGGCTTTGATAAATTAAATATCCTACCTCCAATAACTATCAGTAAAAATGAAAAATGGAATAATATAACTGTAAAGATTGATGTTGCATATCCATCAGCTTTCTCAATCAAAACATATATTGATATCCCACAGTTTCCGGAGTTATTAGATATGAGATCTGAGACTTGGGAATTTAGGCCTAATGAAAATAATGTTTATATTTCACAATTAGTATTTAGAGCTATCTCTGAAATATCTTCTATTTTGGCAATAATTGATCCTTCAGATAATAATAACGAAGATTCTGATGGTTCTAGCGTTTCATCACAAGAAACAATGTTTACTGTAAATAATGATTATTCAAGATTTAAAAAGTGTTACTATCGAAAAGTTTATTGTGGTTTACATGGCGAATTTTATGAAGATCAAGATGATATTATCCCAAATATTCAATCGTCTTGGGTCGTATATTAAGAATCGACTTAGGATGTAATTTCCGTTGTTATTTTAAATTATGTATAAAAAAAAACTTTTAATATATATCTATAGCGATAGGTATTGTGACAAATTTAATTATAAATACAATTTGCTGTAGCGTTTGTAGGACAATATGCTGTAGCGTTTGTAGGACAATATCATAGTAATAAAAAAATTGAACTATCTCTTATTTAGACATGCATGCACTGTACAGTACAATATTACATGGGAAAAAATTAGTATTTTTACGAAACAATCATTTTATTTATATATAATATACTGTATTAGTAATAACATATTTTATAATATTAATTAATATTTAATATGACCTCCGTTGTTATAATATGCTATTGTAAAATGTTTTGGCATATTATCAACCTCATAATTTGTGCCATATTTTTACTGCCGGATCCCGTCCTTAATTTTCCAAGGATTAAGATTTGGTGGCAATTATGCCTCAATAGTTCATATCAATTACTTTCTAAATAAAACTATATTAACGATATACTAAGATTTGTTTAATATAAATTATTGCGCCTTTCAAATTATTGTGATCAGCAAATAATTCCAGAAAATCAGGAATCTTGAAAAAAATGCAAATCTATGATTGGCTAAAAAGTATTTTAACCAATCATATATTTGCATTTTTTTTTTCTGGAATTTTGTAATTCGAAAAAGCAAGAAAATCAGATAATCACTCCCAAGTTGTACAATAACGGAGAAATATCTTTTAACCTCTTTTAACATAGCGATATGCATATACATCGGTTATTAATGCTTTTATTTCGTCATATAAAGCATGTTTTGATTGTGTATGACATCAAATAAGAGTAATTCTCACATGCGACTTTTAAGGTGTTGAAATCGAACAACGTATGGCTCTCTAAAAAATTTATCACATGGCTTTTTATTAATTAAATAAATCTTTAATATCTTCCATACATTCTTCCTATATAAGTAAAGATATCTTTCTTTATATGAATCACTACCAACAGGGAGACTTAGCACATATGAATACAGGGTAGAAGGTTTTGAAACCGAGTCGACAATTGAGTCTATCATTTGTTCATTACCTTTTATATAAATCTCTTGGTAAAGAACAATATCATATCGCTGAAGAATATAGAACCAAAAGCTTTGAATGGAACTGATCATGCAAACTCCTGGTCTGTACATATGAGATGTAATGATAATTTTTCTAAGGTGTTTTTTTGCACACATTTTTTAAAGAATAAAGAAAAAAAATTAAAATTAAAATATTTAATTTTTCTCTTTAAATCAATTTTTTTTTTGTTTATTTGGAAATTACTCAATTGAACTTTTATTATAAAATAATAATTGGTTTACTATTAATTGACTACTTAAACCACTTTATTTATAAAATTGTAAACTTAATTTTTCACAGAACGAATCATTATAATGTCCTTGTAGCTACAGTAATTTATTTATTTGGAATTATAAGCTTTGGTTTATTCGATATACTGTAAAATGAAATAACACGCACGCATCACACTAATACCATTGCCATTTTCGATGTGATTTTTCATATATTATATTATTATTAATATGGGTAATAAATAAATAAATTTAATATTTTCTATTCAAAATATTACTTAATTTTGTTTCACTCTTCCCTCAATTCATTACAACCCTCTTGTTCATGTTCAATAAAATATCTGGCACATTCATTGTAGTAAATTGGAAATATTTGTCATGGAAATTAACATTTTTAGTCAAACAACAATTATTTTGCATTGCGCTAAGATAGTAAAAATAAAATCAAATTTTAAACCTTTTTGAAGGTATTATGTCTGTTAGAATTATTAAAAATTTCAAAATTCTTATTAGTAAATTAATAAAATTCAAATAGTATTTCACTTCAGGAACATAGAAATTTGCGTTATCAAAAAATAGTTGAAAATGGAAATTCCATGATGTGAAGGTTTTAAGAGTTAGCTTTGTTGGTTTATTATTATTATTTTTTTTTAAGTTATATAGAGCGGAGTTTTTTGACATGTTCTTTCTCATTACTTGTTCTCATGTCCATTATATAAACCACGTTAATGTAAATAAACGCAGAACGAAAAAATTTTGCTTTGAAACATAACCGCGGTTGAGTGAAAATGTACTTTTAAAATTAATTATCTTTCTTGTCATAAAGAAAAAGATAAAGGATAAAAAAGGTAAACAATTTCAATTTATAAAATTTT